CAGCTCTACACCTTGTTATCTCAGATTCTCCAGCATCTGCAGTTCCTACAATCTCTGATATAATTCGCCCCCACATGTAGCCTGCCCTGTACAAGCGTCTCCAACTTCTATCCCTGGTTACTCTGCAAATTATCATCTGCCTAATTGCCCTTTTGAAACTTCCCAATTTCACAACCTCACAGCCTTCCAGATTTTAACAACACCCTGTCTGAACAAATCTCTTCTCATTTTCCTCTGGGTCTCTCTGCCAATTAGTTGAAACCTTTGATTGTGGGTTATGACCCTGGAAGTTCCTGTACTCTGACTAGGTTCTCACCCATTCACCCATCCTGAAATAAATGAGTCACCCACACACACTCACACACACACACACACACACACACACACACACACACACACGTACACACTCAGTCACACACACATACAACACACACATACACACTCACTTACACACACACAAAACACACACGTACACACTCACTCACACACACAGGCACACACACACGTACACACTCACTCACACACACAGGCACACACACACGTACACACTCACTCACACACATACTCATACACACACACACACTCACTGACACACATGCACATACACACACACATACACACTCACACAGACACACACACACACACACTCACTCACACACAAACACACACACTTACTCATGCACACACACTCACACATACACATACACACTCACTCACACACACAGATACACACACAGTCACTCACTCACACACACATACACACTCACTCACACACACACATACACACACTCACTCACACACACACATACATGCACACACTCACTCACACACATTCACACACACACACACACTCACAAACACACACACTCACACTCACTCACTCTCACACACACACATACACACACACTCACACACACACATTCACACACATACACACACACACATACACACATATACACGCACACATGCACACACACACACCCTCCCCCACCCCGCCCCATTCCCGGCCTCGCAAACTTACAAATTCATTTTGGCAGGGCATTGGTTTGGTGCTGCTGGATCCAGGGTTGAGGAGGAAATTGGTGTTGAAGACTGCCAGCTGAGTTTTCAGCCGATTCCGTTCCTCCAGGAGCTTAACCTTCTCTGCGAGGTATTTCTCCTTCTCGCCCTGCATCTGAGACTCTTTTGTCTTGAATTGGTGGAGCTGGGCTGCTGCTTCTTGCTGACATTCCTCGTTCTTCTTTTCCAAGTTGCTTATCCTTGAGGATTGTTCATTGTTACTCTGCCAGATGTGTTTGAAGTTTGCGACAAAGTTGTCGATCCTCTGTTGGAGCTGCCTCTGGAAGTTGGAAGTCAGTGGTGTGCAGTTTGCTCTCATTTGCTCCAATTTGTTGGGGTCATAATGCCCTCCTATCTTCTCCACAACCTTCCTGAATCCTTCTGCATAAACCATGGTGGTTTCCTCCATCATCGTCTTAAAGTCCTTGCTCATGGCTGTGCAGTTCCCTTTCTGATCTGTCAGCTGTCTGAGTAGTTCCAAATTCTGACTTTTCAGTTTTGTCACTTCCAAGTTGTGTTTCGCCTGTTGGAGCTCAATATCAGCTTTCATCCTTACCATCTGCCTTTGAATGATTGAATAGTTTCTTTTCAGCACATCGTATGGCCATATTCCAAATTGTCTTTGCAGGAACGTGTCTGAAGTTGTAAAAGATGTGAAAACGGTTAATATTTTCTACTTTGTACAAAACAATCTCAAATGCAATTGCTTCGGTTATTATTGCCTGCATGAGACCTTCTCCTATACAAATGCACATTAGGTGCAAAGCAGCTGGCTATGTTATTGATTGCAATGCATGGTGAGAATGGGATTGAATTTGCCACATGCAGATGGGGAGGACAAAAAAAATCACAGATTCACAAAATTGTCGCAGTGCAGAAACAAGCCATTTGAGCGATCATGTCTGTGCCTAGTCTTCTAATCAGCACCTCACATAGTGGAATTCTCCCACCTTCTCCCATTCAAACCGCACAGTTTTGTCTTTTCATGTTGCCAGGGTTGGAGGGTTTGAGCTACAGGGAGAGGCTGAATAGGCTGGGGCTATTTTCCCTGGAACGTCGGAGGCTGAGGGGTGACACTACAGATGTTCATAAATTTATGAGGGGCATTGATAGAATGAATAGCCAATGCCTTTCTCCCAGGATAGGGGAGTCCAAAACCAGCAGGCATAGGTTTAAGGTGAGAGGGGAAAGATATAAAAGGGACCTAAGGGGTAATGTTTTCACACAGAGGGTGGTGTGTGTATGAAATGAGCTGCAGGGAAAGTGGTGGAGGCTGGTACAATTACAACATTAAAAAGGCATCTGGATGGGTAAATGAATGGGAAGGGTTTAGAGGGATATGGGCCAAATGCTGGGAAATGGGACTAGATTAATTTGGATATGTGGTCGACATGGACGAGTTGGACTGAAGGGTCTGTTTCTGTGCTGCACAGCTCTATGACTCTACGGTAGCTATTTTTCCTGGAGCGTCATTCTGATTCCCTTTTGAACATTTCAAGTGAACCTATCTCCACCAGACTGCCAGGCTGTGTACTGCAGACCCTAACCACTCTCTGTGGGAAAGGCGTATTCCACATGTTGCCTTTTCATCTTCTTTGAATCATTTTAAGTTTGTTACATGAAGAATGTGACAAAACTATGTCCTCAACTAGCAAAAGAACAGAATGTAGCCATTTTGTCTCTTGAGAATGTTCCTCCATTCAATTTGACCATGGTTGTCTTCTATCCTTCGAACCAGCCTTGGTTTGTAATGTTTAAACCCCTAACCCAATAAAGTCTATCAATCTCAGCTTTGAAATTCTAATTATCCTGCACCCATAAGACATAAGAGCAAAAGTAGGCCATTTGGCCCATTCAGTCCATCCCACCATTCAATGAGACCAAGACAGATCTGATAATCCTCCACTTTCTGGCATTTTCCCCATAACCTTTTACTCCCTCACTAATCAAAAATCTGTCTATCTCAGCCTTGAATATACTTAACAGCCCAACCTCAACAGCCATCTGGTGGTAAAGAATTTCACAGATTCACTACCCTCAAAGAAGGCATTCCTCCTCATCTCTGTCTCAAACTGGTGACATCCTATTGTGAGATTATGCCGTCTGGTTCTGGACTCTCCCACAAGAGGCAACAACCTCTCTACATCTACCCTGTCAAGTCCTCTAAAATTGTATACGTTTCAATAAGGTCATCTCTCATTTTTCCAAACTCCAACAAGTACAGGCCCTCCCTACTCAACCTCTCCTCATTAGACAGTCCCTCCATTTTCAGCAGGTTTTTGGTTGGGATCGGGGGTTATAGTTCCAGATTTACAGGGCCGTTTGTGCGTAGTAGTGTTTCCTGACGTAACCCTGAGCAGCCTAGCTCCTAGTCAGATGGACTGAGTGAGACATTCTTGTGCAGACTTACTGTAAGGGAGTGGACGGAGGCCTGGCTGTGGTTTGGTGGTGTTCTGTTGGTGCAAAGAAACCAGAGTTATTGTTGCTCATCACTGCACATTATTCCGAAATAAAAACTGAATGAACTGTGGATGCTGTAAATCAGAAACAAAAATAGAAGTTACTGGAAAAGCTCAGCAGACCTGGCAGCATCTGTGGAGAGAAATCAGAGTTAACATTTTGGGCTGAGTGACCCTTCTTCAATCCTCGAGGCTACGGCTGGAAGATGGCAAAGTTGGGCTTGACCTGGCCTTGGATTCAGAGGGAAATGACAGGCTGAGGAGAAGAGGGAGGGGGATCCTGGGATAGGATGACCTTGAATAGGAACAGGGGGAGCACCGAGTACAACAACAGCTTGCATTCACTTCGTGCCTTAGCTGTGGTGAAGCATACCCAGAGCCTCCCCAGGAGTGTTGTTAGACAACGTATGAGAGCTCACAATGTAAAGAGACATTAGGGCAAGTGACCAAAATCCTGGTCAAAAAAGTAGACTTTAAGGAGAAGCAGCTTGAGAGGAGGCGGAGTACGGGGCAGGGTTTGGGGAGAGGGTGGTGCTGCGCTAGAGAGGGAGAGAGAGAAGGAGAGAGAGAGAAAGAGAGAGACAGGTAGACAGAGAGAGGTTTAGGGGGGGTTGGGCTCAGGCACCTGAAAGCACATCCACTGATAATGGATCAATTAAAATTGGAGAAATACGAAAGGACGGAATTTGAGGAGTGCAGCGATCTCAGAAGGACGTAGATGTCGTGGTTGTTGGAGATAAATAAAATGAGATGGGTTTTAACTCATTGCTGGAGGAAAAGGTGCATATTTCCCAAGGTGCTGAACTCATTTCAGTGACTCACTCATGCTCTGGTTCTTATGGACAAGATCAGCCTGTGACCATCAGCAATTTGAATGAGGAGGAGAATCTAGTCGGAACCAACATCATATCTCAGCATTTTTTCTGGGATCTCCCCAGGTAGCTGCATGATCCCCAAGCTTCAAAATCCCTTTTCTCAAATTATCCTCATTCTTGCTCTCTGGACACTCCCTGAACCCTAATGCTTTGGCAAATCGAGTCATGGAGTCATAGAAATGTACAGCATGGAAACAGACCCTTCGGTCCAACTGATCCATGCTGACCAGATATCCTAACTTAATGTAGTCCTATTTGCCAGCATTTGTCCCATTTCCCTTTAAACTCTTCCCATTTATGTACCCATCCAGATGCCTTTTAAAAGTTGTAATTGTACCAGCCTCCACCACTTCCTCTGGCAGCTCATTCCATACACGCACCACCCTCTGTGTGAAAAAGTTGCCCCTTAAGTCCCTTTTAAATCTTTCCTCTCTCACGTTAAACCTATGTCCCTCTAGTTTTGGACTCTGCTACTCTGAGAAAAAGACCTTGCCTCGTCATCCTATCCATGCCCCTCATGATTTTATAAACCTCTATAAGGTCACCCCTCAGCCTCAGACACTCCAGGGAAAATAGCCCCAGCCTATTCTGTCTCTCCCTACAGCTTAAATCCTCCAAAGCTGGCAACATCCTTTTAAATCTTTTCTGAACCCTTTCAAGTTTCACAACGTCTTTTCTATAGCAGGGAGACCAGAACTGAACACAGTATTTCAAAAGTGGCCTAACCAATGTCCTGTACAGCCGCAACATGACTTTGCAACTCCTACACTCAACACATTGACCAATAAAGGCAAGCATACTAAATGCCTTCTTCACTACCCTGTCTACCTGTAACTCTATTTTCAAGGAACTATGGACCTGCACCCCAACAGACCTGCACCCTACTCCCCAGGACCCTACCATTAAGTGTAGAAAATCTGTCCTGATTTGCCCTGCCTCTTTTGATCATCTGCCCTATTAACCTTATTGTGTGTGTTTGGTGTCAAATATTGTTTCATGTAACAATAAACACCTTGGGATGTCATGCTATGTTAAAGGTGCTGTTTAAATAGAAGCTGTTCATGTTGCTGGTGCATTTCACAGTATAACTGTTAAATGAATTAATATTTACTTAGTGACTTTCATGGCTCTCAAATGCAACAAAACACTTTACAACAAACAAGCTACATTTTCTTGGAAGCATAGAGTCTATAGAATAATCTGTGGAGCAGTTAAGGACTCTGGGTCTGAACTTAGTGGAGTTTAGAAGGATGAGGGGGATTGCATTGAAACTAACAGAATACCGAGAAGACTGGATAGAGTGGATGTGGAGAAGATGTATCCATTACTAGGAGAGACTAGGACCTGAGGGCACAGCCTCAGAGTGAAGGGATGACCCTTTAGAACTAAAATGAGAAGGAATTTCTTCAGCCAGAGGGTGGTTAGCCTGTGGTACGCATTGCCACAGAGGGCTATAAAGGCCAAATCATTGAGCATATTTAAGACAGAGATAGGTTCTTGATTAGTAAATAGGTCAAAGATTACAAGGAGAAGGCAGGAGAATGGGGTTGAGAAACGTGGAGAATGGGGTTGAGAAACATAACAGCCATGATCAAATGGCGGAGCAGACTCGATGGGCTGAATGGTCTAATTCTGCTCCTACATGTTATGGTCTTATAATGCCCCTGGGACCCAAAGGAAAAATTAAAAGAAAAGTTCAGGGTTAATGCTAAAGTTAATTACTCACTTGGGCAAATGATGGGAAGAGGTGCCCCATAGAGACTGGTGCTGAGTCACATATCTTCATTATCGTCATTTGTGCAACTTCAGACATGCAATTTCAAGATTTGAAGATCACATAAAATTGTTAATAATGAGGAGGAATGGCAGTTAAATAGCAAGTAAATTGCAGCGTAGGGGGTGTGAGCGTGAGGTGGTTCATTTTGTGAGGCAGAATGAAGAGAACACATTCTCTTTGGAAAGTAAGAATTTAAATATTGTCAAGGAATGAGATCAGGAAGCACAGATCACTAAAAGGACCAGCGCAAGTCAATGGGACTGTAAAACAACACAGTGATTGCATTAATTCCCAGGGAGTGAGAGAATCGAAAAACAGCAAGATCATGGGGATATATTGAACTTCTTTAGTGTCTTGGTTCAACAGTATTTGGAGTACTGTGAACAGTTTTCCCTGTCGGCAACCTGGCAAAGGTGCATAAAAGATTTATAAGGATGACACCGAGACCGAGATGTTCCAAGAAAGACCAAAAATATCAGGCTCTTTTCTCCAGCAAAGAAAGGCTAAAGGGCAGCCTGATGAAAGTCTTTAAGATGATAAAAGTGATAGGCACAAACTGGGAGTTGTAAATATAAGATGGTCACCAGTAAGTTCAAGAAGAATACATGGGAAGTGTTTTTACTCATAGAATATTGAGAATGTGAAACTTGCTCCCACAGGAAGTGGCTGGGATGAATGGTATTGAAACATTTAAGTGGAAAGTGGATAAACACATGAGGATAAAAGAATACAAATGTATTCTGATAAGCTTATCCATTGAATTTACAGATTAGAAAGAGTCCATTCTGCCCAACTAATCAATGCTGGTGACTTTCCTTAAATCACCTTGTCAGCATCACCCCTATTCCTTTCTCTCACCTGCACTTCTCATTTTCACTTCAATACATGGCAATACCGTTCACCATAAACCCACGCACGACAGTGAGTGTACATTCCCATCACTCTAGTTTCAGAAGTTTCTCCTAAATCCCCTGTTTGATTTGCTGATTGCCACAGCCTGTTAGTAGATAAAAACCGAAAGAACCTAGGATGCTGTAAATCAGGAACAAAAACAGAAGTTGCTGGAAAAGCTCAGCAGGTCTGGCAGCATCTATGAAGAAAAAATCAGAGTTAATGTTTCGGGTCCAGTGAACCTTCCTCAGGACAGCTGCCAGACCTGCTGAGCTTGTCCAACAACTTCTGTTTCTGCTCCTGTTGGTAGATGATATCAGTTAGGGGATAAGGCTATGCTGAGTGCATTGTACGAAACTCATCAACTGGAACAAAGAGACTGTTTCACTTCTGTCCAACATTGGCCAATGTTGTAAAGAAGTAAATGCAGCGGCTCATTTGTGCACAGCAAGCTCCCATGGGCTACAATGTGTTACACAGATAGATAAACTATTTTAGCTGAAGCGCCAGGACTCCAGGGAGAAAATCCTCAGCCTCTCTTTGATACAGTGCAGTGGCATCTCTCATGTTGGTTCCATTGTCAAGACAACGCCTACAATGTGCAGCTCCCCATCAGTAGGGGACGGGAGGTGTCAGTGGGTCTCTGAAGTGAGATCAGATCCCACAACTTTTTGAGGCCAGGGCTGAGACAATGATCCACCTACTGATTGATGCCTGAAATGCTGAGGGAGACCCATGGGGAGCATCACACATTCAAAATTATGAGAGAAAGACTTGCCTTTTGGGAACATGCCATCAAAGACACGTTGGTCCTCATCAAATCGTTTGTTACATTGAACACCGTGGACCGGCATTTCTCAATTTCTTTATGCTGTCTATTCAGTTTGGCATGCAGATCATTAATATCATCGATGAACTTGACTGATTGGTTGCGACTGCTCTCCAGGTGACTCTGTCGGCTCTTTTGATTATTCCCATAGACCATGAAGAGGACAAGCCCCAGGATGATCAGTAACTGAATGATGCTGGCAGACAGAAGAAAGTATTTAACATAATAGTCACAGCTATTAGATTTCGCTCTCTGGTAGTCCCTGCTGTCATAGCCCAGTTTCTTCATTGGGTAGCTGTTGTGGTCCATGTCTAGACTTCTCACACTGCCCAGCTTCTCGAAGAAACCTTTAAGAGCATCAGACTACAGGAAGGGTGGGACAAACTAATCACGTAAAACACTCTTTCGCACAGACGCAATTTGTCAGATGTGACCCTATCTCAAGAGAGCATGCAAATGCATCATCCGGAACAATCCATAAACACTCTTTGTCTTATCAGCTTCTCAAACTCTTTCCTGCAGAACCTTGTGTTCAATCAGGCAGGCATTTTCAACTAATCTCCAATTCACTGCTGCACAGGAAAAAAATCCCATTCACTATTTGTGACGGGTGTTTAGATTAACTCTGGGTGTGCCTCCTGCCCCTTGACACTGAGGGAAATGGAGAGAATTGTGAAGGATCTGACAAGAGTGATCAGGAATAGCAGATAATCAGAAATGAGGAGTGGAGGTTGGGGGTGAGGGCGGTTACAGTGAGGGGTTTGGGATATATCAAAATGTGACTGAGGAGTGCGGGGTATAGCAGAGTGTTACAGTGAAGGGTGTGGGGTACATCAGAGTGGTACAGTGAGGGGTGCAGGGTATAGCAGAGTGTTACAGTGAGGGGTGTGGCGTATAGCAGAGTGTAACAGTGAGGGATGTGGGGTATATCAGTGTGTTACAGTGAGGGGTCTGGAGTACATCAGAGTGTTACAGTGAGGGGTGTGGGGTACATCAGAGTGTTACAGTGAGGGGTG